AAGTTAATAATTACATCATTATCTTAATAATTACATTCTATCGGACACTAATCGACTAAACTAACGGAGTCAGATCACAACAAATCGTTAAAAAAATACACATTTCGTACTCTATCGTCATAAAAAAAAAAGAGATAATTGTATTTAGCAATATGAATTCAAATATAGTTTCACCTTATATAGGCTTCTTCACAGTTGTTGGTAGATTTGAGTAGTCTTTGATATATGTATTCATGACTTGTATACTCTGGAACTAGATTTTAAGGACAGTTTCATAGTAAAGACATTTATCTATAATTGTTGATAATTGTACCAAGGTCCTAAGTTGACTTGTAGATCTTTTTTGGAATTCGTAAGTGTCTTTTAATTTCTGTACATGCATCATTGAAGTATTAATAAAAAAAACATATACCTTCTTCTATTGGCATCAATCTTAATCAAGCATTGTAAGAATATATGTAAACGAAAAGGAGAAAACCTTTACTTAACAGGCTATTTCGCTTTCACCCTGAAACTAGATTATTGTGTATAATTTTCACAGTCGGACATCGATACCAATGTTCATTAATTCAACAATCCGACACCGACACCAATGTTGAATGTGTTTTGAAATCTATATCGTCTGTCTGCTAAGTACCGATCGTGACCTATTCCCTAATATGACTGTTATACAGAGTGTGAATTTGCATTGCTATACGACGTGTCTCGGTATTTCGTATAGCCAACATTCATGTATTTATTTTTGATGTTTCTGGTATAGTTTCGGTTGGATAATGTGTTATGTCTTATCGTTTGTAGTCCAAATAATTATAAAATTGCCTTTCAATACCATCATTGTCATGAAAATTGTTTGGACCGGTATTGTGAAAATAATTGTATAAAGTTCGAGATTGCATGTTCGTTACGTAAGTGCGTCACTGTTTGTGATGTCCTGTGGTGTTTGTCGTTGATGGAATATGTTCGTTGTTGATCTGCGGTTTGCATGTTCTGTCGACTATTATATTATATGTTTGTACGTTTCTCTGTGATGAGTGTTCTTGCGTGTGTTTGTGATATATTTCTGTCACGTAGTGTTGTCATTTTAGCGATAGTTTTTAACATTGTCAAGCGGGAGGTTTGGCTAGCCATAAAACCAAGTTCTCAACCCACCATTTTTTCTTAAAATGTCCTGTTCCAAGTCAAGAATATGGCAGTTGTTATCAAATAGTTCGTTTCTATGTATGTTGGCGTTTGTTTTTGTTGCACTTCAGTGTTCCTGTTGTTCCTTTGTTTTCCTCTTATAGTTGATGTGTTTCCCTCGGTTTTAGTTTGTAAACCAGATTTGTTTTCTCTCAATCAAAGGCAACTCAAACCTTGGGGTAACTAGAGCGAATAAAAATTTTGCAAACTCACGTAAAATATGCGAACTTTTTAAATGCCTTCTGTTTTAAAGCTGGTGTTTGTTATAAAAGATAAGTTGATCAGAACGAATGGCAGTTTCAAATACACAGATAAAAAGAAAAACATCTCTTAATATCAAATTTGTTTTGACGACCTCAACTATAAATTTAGAATTTTGTTTTTGAAGAAATTTTCACACAACTTTTCTGTCTGTTGTTGATGCAGACCATTATTGGTTCAGATAAGGAATTCAAATTTCAAATAAATTCACCTTTTACACATACTTCATGGTGTATTTTTCCCTTTTTGAAAATGATAAACACAAAAAGTTAATTTTTCATTTCTATATGCATAAAGCGAAGTAACTCTGTTTAGATTCAATATCGAACGTGTGAGACTTTCGAATTCTTTCTTTATTTTCCTTTTTCTGATTTCAGATTTAAAGTCGCCCTCTTTATTATAATTAAAAAGAACATGAATTTAAAAAAAATATAATATATTAATATAAAATTTAAAAATTTGTAATTGAATAGATCTGTTATAATCATGATAATTAATGACATTAACGGTACCAATTCTTCTGCACCAGATGCGCATTTCGACAATAAAATACAAATTGAAATATGTCGTATTCAGTTTGGCGGTATTCTATAGCATATTATATATTTATAAGTATATTTCATTTGGCATGGATATTTATGTTAGGTAATTTATAGCAATTTCTATGAAAACAAGAAAGATGTTTTAACAACAAATTCTGTTCACGTCTATGAATTTCGTGGAAATTGTCTAAACGTGACACTGTGTCACATTGATTTTGTTTTCTATTTCATTATAATGACATTGCAGGGCCCAGAATTCACTATAATACTTTTTCATTCAGTTTTACAGTGTAATTGCACATTGTAAAACTAAAAGGTAAGTTGTGTATTAAAAATGTAAATCGTGTTTTTATAAATTTGGAAACTACAGTTCACGGTACAATACATCGCGTTTAAAAAAGCTTTCTATTCTTAAGTTATATAGATTTTTAGATTTTGTTACTAATTTCGTGTTAATGGTCGAACGTCGAAAACAAAATTTTCTATAAAATCCGCATCATGTCATTTGTATCTATGTTTTATCTAACTCCACGACAAATATAATGAAGACTGAAAGACCAAGAAGGAGGTATTTCCAAGGCCCGGTCCCGTCGATTTTCAATAGTAATCAAAACCAATTTTGGCCATCCATAGTTTTTACTTCTTTTTTTTTTACATGTTAATATGATTTCCGTATGTTAATGTATATATTTCAAGAGATATATTCCTTTGTTATATAAAATATTTTATTCCGTGTAATTGAGAAAAATATATTAACTATAAAGAGTACATGGTTTTGCTTGTGTATGTGTGTATGGTTTTGGATGTAAAAGTCTACGCTAAATGTCTTCTATAACATTCGGCATACTTCGGCCGATAATACAATGTAGGGTACGAGGATCTGCCAAGGTTTGTCAAATTTCTAGTTAATCGAAGTGAATATTTACAATTGTATCTACTTAAGCGTGAAAAGTTTTGTTACAAGATATTTCTTCAGTAATTTTCTTGGTAGATGTACATGCTTATATAATGTTATTACGAGCGATTTTGAAATACTTGATGATGGGACCAAAATTGCTTACATCAGGTAAAATCGTCAGATGAATGCTTAGTTAGGTTATTTGAATACAAATGAGTAAATCATTTTCAAAACCTAGGCTTTAATTAAAAATTACTTGACCAACTGGGAAAAAACATGGTTTAATATCTATGTTTATTAAGCTTATCTAAGCAATATTTTAATAGAAATTTGTGACAGGTGATATTAACATTGGAAACTGTAGAAGTTTTAATTTCTATTTTGAAGGAAAGAAAATGGCTGCAATTACTTTGTTGTTAATACTTACCTTAACGGTAGTTCAGGTTTGTTGTTTGCCGTGTCTGTCGGACAAATCTAAGAAGATATTTGAGAAAACAAAAAAGACATTGGATGGTCTGGAAAAGGAACTAGAGAGTAAGTTCATCTAAAAATTTAGAACAATTCAAAACATGTCTTTCATCAAATATATTTTCCTTCCGATAGAAATACTATTATAAATGCATTAAACACGGATCATTAGTCTTTCTGGTTTGTTTCAGAACAAAATGATTTTTAAAACTTGTGTTCGTGTATGCTATTGAAAAAAAACGTTTGTTTTATATTAAAGTTGAACAAAAAATGTTTGGACCTAGAAAAAAGTCCATGTCCCACCTCTTCCCCACAGAGATGAATGGTTGGTGTCTAAAACCAGGAATCTTATAAGTCGTCTGAGTTTAGAGACTTCTTTTACAGGCATTACTCCTCTGAATCTTCGAATTGCGAGTGGAAATTATTTGCTAAACAATGTAAATTCCGAATCAATTTTTTTTCGTAGTTTTGCTAACTTTTGTTAAATGTTAAATTCTGCATAATATATAATTCACATACGCTTTTAAAATATTGTTTGGGGTAGGGATGGTGGAAGATGGGTTTTTGTTTACTCTTTTGTGACTTTAATGACAAATTTTTTTTTTCAATAGCAAACAAGAACGAAATATATATTTTCATCTTTCTGTTGCTTTTATCAACTTTTGCAAATCGTTTTTTAATAGAAACAATTAATGTTTTCAATTCCTCCACGAAACATATTTTTAATATTAACAATCAAACAATTATTTTTTCTTTCAAACCCATGCCTCCAAAAAGATGGTTTGTGCCAAATTGATTACGCTTGATTTTGTCAGTTTTTATGGAGTTCAACTTTATCTAATTTACCTTGGAGTTCGGTATTTTTGTTATACTTTTTACACGAATTATAATCAGTTGTACATGTTGCATGTAGAACATTAAAATGTTCATAAACAAATTTGAATTGGCCGTGAATTCTTATCTTTTTGTAATTTTTACTGCATTCGCTGGTCTATGCTGCTTTGAATTTTTAAAATGAATTCGTGACAATTGGATACATGAAGAGAATGTGATACAAAATAAGAATAGAATAACATGAATACCGAACTCAAGGAAAATTCAAAACGGAAAGTTCCTTATCAAATGGCAAAATCAAGAGCTCTTCAAATGAATGAAAAACAACTGTTATATTCCTGACTTGGTAAGGGCATTTCTTATGTAGAAAATAGTTGTTAAGCCTGGTTTCGCTAGCTTAACCTCTCACTTGTATGACAGTCGCATACAGTTCCATTATATTGACAACAATGTGTGAACAAAACAAACAGAAATAATAGGGAAAAATATCAAAAATAGGGGTACAGCAGTCAACATTGTGTTAAAATCTTAATCACTATAAAAACAAACAACTATGTCAACAAAGAAAAACCAAATGCATTCTTTTTTTACCCTCAATCGATGTTTATTTTTCCCTGTCATATTTTATTTTTTTAGCGCATTAAATGATGATAGAAATTAAAAAAATGCTAATGGGATTATATATAACTGGTTATTTCCAGTTTTAACTAAATTCAAGTATTATGATAATAGTATATCGTTTGACTTGCAAATCAGACATGTCGATGTACAAGAACAAGAAAAAGTATAAGTATATTGTTTAGTTTATTAATTGACAGAGAAAGAATGGAAAACGTACAAAAATCATTGTTATTATCTTGGAGGAGATCCTGAAACTTGGTTCACCGCAGAGGTAAGATAATTGTTTAGCTCATGTAATAACTTATAAGTGTTGTACACTAACATTTCATTTTCATTCTGTAATCGGAAAGGGTAACGTTGAATTACTCGGTAGTGTCCTGCATTTAAGAAGGCTAGACTTTAATGCAAGAGGAAGCTAGTTTATCATATATATCGTGTTTGATTTGATAATTGCATCGTAACAGACCATCACTAACGGACAAGGAAGCAAATTTAATCTTTACGTGCGTGCACGTGTGAACGAATGAGACAGAATTCAACCGAACGTGCTGCAGCTAGGTCTGTAATCTCAAGTGGGAAAGAGTAAAATAATGCAACCGAACGTGGTGATGTGTTATCTGTTCGTTGAAACAAAAGGCATTATTCAACCAAACATACTGATCTGTTGTCTGCATGAAGGAGAGAGTGTAAAAATTCAACCAAATATGCTGATATGTTGTCTGCACGTAGTAAAAAGCGTACGAATTCAACCAACAATGCAGATCTGTTGTCTGCACGTTGGAAAGAGTGTAAGAATTCAACCAAACACGCTGATCTGTTGTCTGCGCGTAGTAAAGATCGTAGGAATTCAACCAAACATGCTGATCTGTTGTCTGCACGTAGTAAAGAGCGTACGAATTCAACCAAACATGTTGATCTGTTGCATGCACGTACGAATTTGCTGATCTGTGGTCGTATACACTGAACTTTTAATGAAGACTCACACTACATATACATTTTAGTCATTTTTAAGCATTACTCGGTAAGAAACACATTCTATTTGAAATTTCTACTTCTTTTTTTTATTAAATTTATCATTCATATTTGAATAATTTAGTTTTATTTTGTGTTTTATCTTCTTCAATAAATCAGAGATCGCGATGCTGCGTTGACTTAATTTTTTGCTAACCTTCTTTGTTTACATTGCAGAAAAAATGTCGTCAAATAGGTGGGTATCTTGTCAAAATTGACGACTCATCAGAAAATGTATGGTTAAAAACACAGTTTAGTAAGGGTGAGTCTTCATATCAATACAATTAGATAGTAATATTGCAAGTTCTATAGTAAAGCAACATGTTATAAGAAGTATAACAAACCAATGCGCACTAACATTTAAAGAAGAAAATATCAAGGGGCAATACAAGTATAAGTTATAGAAAAATTCCATGGCCATAATTCAAAAACTTGTCACAAAAACTTCACAGAATACTAGAGGTTGAGTAAGAGGAATCAGAATAAAACCGGGCCGGATTCGAGTGCTCCGTAAAGGTAAGCAGCTTCTGTTTCTCTAGTAGCATACTTCATAATGTTCTGGTTATGTTATGTAAAAATAGTCCTGTTTTGGTAGCATTACATAAGATCTGTCTGTTTTTGTGTCGTTGGAGTATCATTGACTTATACATGTTGTATCAACTCATCCTCTTGTCCATTAACTGCACTCTATGTTTTACAAAACTTAGTAAAACACATTTACGGTCAAATGTCAGTGTATTTTCATTTTTGAATTTTAATCTGATTTAGTTTCTTTATACGGTAAAATAATTTATTTGTGTGGATTTTTTCGAGTATAGCATTCTCTTCACAGGCACTAGTTTGGCTAGTCGACCTTCCCATGGATAGAAACAAGTGCCTGTGATTCTCTAGCGGGCTTTGTGACGATTTATCTTCGATTTTCTAGCTTACCTTTCTTCACGCATAAATAAGAGAAGTTCGAATAATTATTCACATATTCGCAACGATTGATATTTGTGTTCGGTTCGATTTTAACTCTCGATTCAATGGAATTTGTTTTTTTTCAATTATTATTCAAACTGCATACGATAGAATTCATGATAAATCATAGCTTGACCTTTGAATTTAAACTTTCAAGGAACCCACTACTGGATTGGGCTGACCGATCTTCAGGAGGGACACTTCAGGTGGTCGTATGACCAAGAAAAGGCAAAATTTACAGCATGGCACAGCGGAGAACCAGGCAATGCTGGTGGTAACGAAGATTGTGCAGGGCATCACTATCACTTAGATACTTGGTTTGACGCACCATGTCATAAAAACTACAACTGGATATGTGAAAGAAACTTCTGTAAATACTGTTTAATTCTAGTTTACCACACACATAGTACATTGTAATATACAGAGCAACGAAAAGAGGGTCGCGTATGTTGATATTTCATTAATCTCACACACACTGAGCTGAGCGGAAAATTTGGAATTGATATGATATAACATACAAGTACTAATTTCAAACCTCGAAAAAGAAAGAGAGAGTCGCTATGATGCTTTATTTACATTTTAATCATAATATCAAGTTTCTATACAATTGGGACAGATATATTTAAACCTTGATCGGTTACAAAAAGACTTCAAAGACTAAAACACGCAGGTATAGAATTTGACAACCATTATAACAAATAAGGTTTCATTGCCTATGAGACAACTATTCAGATTAAAGTGCATAATTAACTATAGGTCACCGTATGGCTTTCAGAAATGTGCAAAACTGATACCTAATAGAATCGTATGGCTTTCAGAAAAAAGCAAAACTGATACCTAATAAAACTCTATAAAATTAGGAATTTATAACAAATGGGAAAACAATTTAAAGGGAAAATCAACGGCATGCTGTATACTTCAATTATGGATGGCAGCCGCAACAATCGAATAACAATAGATTAAAGGACCATGGCTTTTGAAAGACACTTCACCAAACAAGCTGGTGTAAACATGTTTCTGAGTCCCCTACAGCCCCATAACAAGAGACACTTAAACGAATACGTCGAATTCAAACTGAACTACGACATGACAAAAACACGAAATACGACAAAATCTACTAACATAGAAAGCTAAAAATTAAGCAACACGAACCACACCAAAATCCCGGGGTGGTCTCATGTGCTTCGAAGAGTAAACAGATACTGCTCTAGAATGACATCCTTCATAATACCGGGGTGGTCTCAGGTGCTTCGAAGAGAAAACAGATACTGCTCTAGAATGACATCCTTCATAATGCTCACGTAAGTACACATTCGTTGATCAGTCTCACTCTGTGATGTCACAATCGTGCAAAAGAGGACGGAGTTGTGGTTACGATAATTGGAACATACACATCGTCATTTGTGAAACAGATATTCTATAAAGTTCAACCATTTGTGATGGCGTAAAATTTTTAAAGGATTTGGTTTGATGGTATCTTTGTAAGCAGCAACTCTCTATTAAGGAAATCATGATGGGAAACATAAGTTCTAGAATATCGTATCAACAAGGAAAGTAATGTGAAAATCATTTTCAATGGGTAACAGTTTTAATCGTTGACTCATCAAATCGATACTTAGCATAAAAAGGGTAAGACAAGGAATTGACAACCATGTCTTCTATCAAGGAATATTTAAAGTATTTTCGGGAACCAGGAACATATTTGATGAATGAAATGGTACAAATCTCTTCATTTTTTTATTACTATTTAATACTTGTATTAACACTCAATGAAAATAAACCAATAAAACAAAATATCGGATGCATTTTAAATTAGACTGAGTTAGTCAATGGTATTAGTTATGCTCTATAACTAAAATTACTTATTTTATTAGGATTGAAGATATTATAATGTGATAAACTTAAAAGAGTAAAATTTCCTATATTTTCTTTTTTACAGGCAACTAAGTCGACGACTACAGGCGTTGGAGCTTGATTAAAATTGATATTAACACTTGAATAAAATGCATTTATTTTATTAATTGATACCTTGTTAGATATTCAAACAAAAAGAATTCAGTTTGTCACATGAAAAGCTAACCACTGAAAGAATTGTGGCGAATTATATTTCCGGTCCCTTTGCTAAAGCATGGGTTCCTTCATTATAGCTAGATATGCTTGTTGATTAATACAACCAATGCGTAGAATCTCGTGACCATCAGGTAGCCCAAATGCTGAGGTGTTTTGGAAATTCCACCCGCACAGTGTCCGCTTTTGTAATGGCATTGGCAGCCATCTATTAATTCATACACGTGACGACCAATTTTCCGTTAGTTCTGTGAAATTAATAATTATACGTTTTGGGTAAGGTTGTGGTCATGGTTTAGATCAGGACTAGTAACACAAAATTATTCATTGGAAATGATAATATTTGGATTTTTAATTGTGATGTCAATCCCATCATACTGCATTTCTGTATAGAACATTGATATATGATGACACTTCGTTTTCTCAAAATGCATGGTCTGAATTTCTTATTAGTTAAAAAAAAAATCAAAAAAAAAAAATCTGAAATATATAAGTACCTCGACCTTGAAGCCCTCAGAGCTTCATCCGACCCAGCCAATAGACCATGAAGAAGATTAAATAGGATTATTCAGCATTTCAAACAAGTTCTGTTAAGTGCCAATCTGCCTAAGAATCAGGCAATGGTGGAAACATGACAAACAAAAACCCACCCAAGTTGACATTAATTTATGTTCACACTGTATAGTGGTGCACGAATATAACATTCGTTTCCTTTTCCTGTTCTGGTAATTCAAGATATAATTTGGTTGAAATGCCCTAGAAATTAACAGTAAAGGGGAGCTAACTCCGTAATTTGCTATCATTTTAACCAAAAGTTATCTAGAGCTAGAAATCTCGAAATACCAAACAAGCAGAAACGAAAGACCTACCATTTATAACTAAGGATGAGGGTAACTTCAAAATAGGATGGTTAGGTCGGTGGGTTTTTTTCGGTCATGTTTTGAAATTTTTCTAAATTGCCTGATTCTTACAAAGACTGGCACTTAAGACGCAGTAGACTACTTCACATGGGCAAAATGTTTATTGAACATCGTTAAAATGCTTATAAACAGGCTACGCCTTGGGGAAGTACCTAATGACCTGGCTAATTTACCCTTTTTGTTTTTTGACTACAGTTTCAACACTGGCTGCGGCTGTTATGACGTTCATAGTGATTCTATAATCATTGGATCGCCATAATAGTGTCTAATTTTTTGCAAAGAACATGGTTAGACAATATCAAGGGACCGAGCTTCTGCAGGCGAGACATTATTGCTTTTTATGCATTTATATTATTAGAGGTCGATGAACTGTGGCAAAGGTAGGATGCCTCTAATACAGACAGTGGTTTTTCAGAATTTTTCGGTAGATTCTCTATTAAAGAACTGATAGCCCTACGTTTTGCCTTTCTGTTTTTGAAATTATATGTTATATTTTGGATATAAACGACATCACTCTGTATTTTATCTGCATTTGCGTGTAATTTGTACCTGATTTATTGTTAGTTCTCGTGGTATATTTATAGTGTTTTCTTTCACATTTTTTTCTTTTCCACGGTGCTTCTTTTCTTTGATCTTTCTTTCTTTTTTTTGATTTTACGTTATCAGTTGTGTTAAAACTTTTCATCGCTTTCCTTTTATATTTATTGGTACCATTTTAACTTTTTTTTCGACATAGGAACTATATCAAAATACAGGGAAAAAAATCAAAAACACTATACTTTTATGAATATTGGTTCTAATTTGTCATTAAATATAAAATTTGCAATGCAAAATCGTTTCTTTTGACTTTTTAAATCAATGATAAAAATGTTACATCAAATAACATTCAGCACCTAAGATATCTCAAATCAGCAAACTGGACAACATCGCCGGACTTGTAAACTTCTTTTACAAATCACAGAAATACGCAATTCTACTACGACGTTAACCAAGCAGACTGAAAACCAAAAATGGCTAGGAAATTATCATGTGTTAAAGGACCAGGTTAAGAATTTCCTTCTACAAACTATTCTTTTTTTTCATTTTAACCATTACATGAAATATCATTGATATGTTAATGTTATTTAAACTTACTTTTTATATAAAAGAACAGAGTTCCAATGTCCCCCGCGTTGCACATAACTTATTTATACAAGGGCAATAACTGAAAAAAAAATTGTTCTTAAAAACATTTTATAAATATCTTAAGAGAAATGGAGGCTTGAGAGCAAATACAATACAATTTCCAATATAATTAATATTTTCAAGGGGCATAACTCTTTTAAAAATACTTGATCGGAACTGAATTTCGAACTTGTCCGAGACATAGCTTATATAAACCTTTGGTATAAGTTTCATAAAAATCTGGCAAGAATTGTACACATTAGAGCGCTTGCAAAGCAATTTTCCATATAATTGATATTTTAAAGGGCAAAACTCTTTTAAAAATAATTGATCGGCATTGATTTTCGAACTTCTCCGAGACATTGCTGATATAAACCTATGATATAAGTTTCATAAAAATCTGGCAAGAATAGTACACATGAGATCGCTAACAATGAAATTTTCCATATGATTAATATTTCAAAGGGGTACAACTCTTTTAAAAAATATTGATCGGCACTGATTTTCGAACTTGTCCGAGTTATTGCTGATACAAACCTATGAACTGTACACGTGAGATCGCTAACAAGACCGGACGGACAGACGGAGAGACCAACAAACGAACGCCTGGTTTTTCTATATCCTCCGCAACACTTCGCGCGGGGGACGAAAATGTTGATGTATTCGAAACGATTAGCGTATTGATGTATTCGAAACGATTAGCGTATTTATTTTACTAGCGTACCAAATTATAAGCTTTTTTTCACTCAAAGTTTTTGATACAATTTTACGAAAAATAAGACGAAAGACATGATTTTTATTTGATCTCTATTACTTGATACATACATGTAAATAGTTTCAGAAAAGGTATCACTCCAAAGGATTGAAAAAGAGAGGCTAAAGATACCAAAGGGACATTCAAACTCATACTATTTTTGAAATTCTTCTTTTGGTAAAATATTTTGGGGAATTTTGTGACATGTAGATTGTTGCTACGGATACATAAAAAAAATATATATTTCATCATTTTTACTACGGGAAATCAAATCTATGGAAGATACTATTACGTACATATGCACTCATATGACACAAACAGTAAGCTAAAGTGTAAAATAGCAAGGAAAAGGGGATGGCAAAATTAATGAGGGTCCATTAAAATATTTTCATCTGGCTGTTTATTGATACCTTATAATGTTTTGAGATAAAGAACAGCAGTAGAAGCTCTGTTTTGCTTTTGCTTTATTATAATTTGATGGTATTGATTATGTTATAAATTGATACGTCGTTTCCTTTTGCTGATTTTTCGCATACAAAATTACAAATTTGCACATAGTTCTTACATTGGCGACATCACTATTATGCAAACGGAAATATGTCATTTGAAAAAAAATATCTTCTACTTATACACAACAAGGCTTATCATTTGGTACACAAGACACACGCAGTATATAAAGTGTTATTTTCATTTGAAGAGCATTATAATCCGAAATTTCCTAAAGTTGTTCCAAATTCAGCTATACAAAAGCATTGACTACTGATCTGGTGATACCACCTTTGCCGAATAATCAACCGGCAGTTGTATCGAACCAGTGTTTGTAAGAACTCACCAAAGTTACCAGGCTTATAAATTGCTACGCCAGACGCGCGTTTATTCTACATGAGACTCATCAGTGGAGCTCAAATTAGAATAGTTCGAAGGCCACATCAAACGCGAATTTGAAGGAAATTCCAAAAAGTTGACAATCTATACCTAGAAAAAAAATAGTGTTTCGAATTATTCATCATTATATATACAGTAAATATACAGAAAATGAACATATCAAGATATTTCATGTAAACACTCATTCAATTTTCAAAAAATAAAACACAATTAATCGGAAACAGTTTATGAAATTGGTTAAATTTACAGGGAATAGAAAGAAAACAATACATATAATACACTTTTCATTAAAAATACACAAAAAAAAAGAGTGGTACATTAAATTTAAAGAAGAAAGAAAACAACGAAGAACCTTTACTCGATTATTATATTGATAAACAACCATATTTAATCAACTTACAAAAAAAGAATACTAATCGTAAACGAAAATTTTACATAAACAATTTCGAAATGTTAGTACCAATAACAAGACAGATTATAAGAGCTATATGATGTACGGTAATATAATACGAGAATACAGAACTGCAAGCTGTTGTTCTCCATAACATAATTACATTTGATGTTCGAAGCTCTGGTAGATCCACTTTCTTGAAATTCTTAAATAATCAGTAAACTTATAAGCCACCTTTGGCTATAGCAACTGAGGGTGGATGATCAACCATTGTTCCTCCGAGAACACAATTGGTATTAGAACAACATGAAATAAGTACATTTTAGGAATAAACGTATTCCCTTGTATGACTATAAACAAACTGTATTATAAAATAACAGAAACTGGATTGAAATATAAACTTTTGTTATGTTTTACTTCATTCCAATATATTTTATAAACTACGTTTTTAACAACTAAAACAGTCTAACCACCTTGTTAAAGAAATTAAAAACAAATATTTTGCAACTTCACTTTTACTACGCATAAAACAAGGATATGTGTCATAGTTTAATTTAAAAAAATGAAAACAACACTTTATATATTCTTTATTCTACAAATTCAAACAAATAACAAACAAATAAAAGGAAATCCTACATGTTTCTGTATGTAGGTGGTCCGTCACCGTATCGGATATTAGATACTATCGAACTTAAAAATATATGCCGGGGTACACGACACAGTGTTATAAGTTAATGATAAATGATACATAAATATATTTAAATAAAAAAGCTGAAACGGTTATGAAAATATTTGATAAACAGCTGCGACAGGAGCGCACGATACCCCTGTTATATGATACTGA